GGACAAGATTCAACAAATGTAAAGAACTACAGGCCAATATCTCTTTTGAACAACGATTATAAAATCTTTGCAAAAATTATTGCAGAAAGGGTGAAAAACTATTTACAAACGGTAATTTCTGAAGATCAAGCGGGCTTTTTACCCAAAAGGCAGATTAGAGACAATGTAAGAATAGTAATGGACGCAATTGAATATTATGAAAAGCACCCAGAAAAAGAAGTAGCTTTTCTGTTTGTTGATGCAGAAAAAGCTTTTGACAATCTTAATTGGAATTTTATGCACCAGATGATGGAAAAGATTGAAGCGGGACAACATTTTAGAAATTGTATTGAAGCTATCTATTCTGAACAAAGAGCTAAAATAAATGTGAATAAAGAACTGACAGATAACTTCAAAGTACAGAAAGGAACAAGGCAAGGTTGTCCGTTATCACCGTTATTATTTATCTGGGTATTGGAAATACTTTTACAAAAAATACAGTACGATCAAGAAATAAAGGGCTTGACACATAAAGGACACCAATACAAATATCGAGCATTTGCAGACGATGTAATGTTTATGGTGGAAAACCCAACAGAAAAATTGACATTGCTTTTTCAAAAAATAAAGGAGTTTGGAGAATTGGCCGGCTTTTACGTAAATAAGAATAAAACAAAACTTATATGTAAAAACATGATCAAACAAAAACAAGTGGAACTACAAGAACTGGTACAATGTGAAGTAGTTAAAAAAACAAAATACCTTGGAATTGAATTAACGGCAAAAAATATAGACCTATATAAGAATAATTATGAGAAATTATGGACTAAGCTGACTCAAGATTTTAAGAAATGGGATAAAATGAACTTATCACTGATGGGAAGAATATCAGTTATAAAAATGAATGTCCTACCACGTTTGATGTTCCTGTTCCAAACAATACCAATTCTGCATAAAACGGATTTGTTGGCCAAGTGGCAACAAGAGTTGTCAAAATTTGTTTGGGCAGGCAAGAAACCAAGGATCAAAATGAAAATACTTTGTGATGCCAAAGAAAGAGGAGGTCTACAAATGCCAAATCTTAGACTATATTATGAAGCGGTTTGTCTAACATGGATGGATCAATGGGTGAAGCTTGAAAATGACAGATTGTTGGGGTTGGAAGGGCATGATTGTAGATTTGGCTGGCATGCATATTTATGGTATGACAAGATAAAAATGGACAGTTTTTTTAAACTTCACTTGGTGAGAAAAGCTTTGTATATGGTATGGACAAGATATAAGAAGTACCAGAGTGACTTAAGACCATTGTGGATTGTACCAGTAGAAGTGTTGATATCTTACTCAAGACAGCGAGGTAGAGACTGGTTGCCATATAGAGATTTAATTAAAAAAGAGGGAACAGAGTGGGTAATGAAAAAGCAGAATGAAATTGAATATGAATATGAGTGGTTGAAATATATGCAGATTTATGATCTTTTTAGATCTGACAAAAAAAACTATGGTTTTAGAGAGGAAAAAAATGAAATTGAAAAGGTATGGGAGAGTGGAGGAGGAAAAAATATTTCTAAAATGTATAAGGTGTTGTTAAAATGGTATACTGAAGATGAAACTGTTAAAGAACAAATGTTAAAATGGGCTATTAATATGAATAAGGAAGTAGATATGGAAACTTGGGAATATTTGTGGAAAAACTCTATTAAGATCTCGACATGTACTAATGTTAAAGAAAATTGTTATAAGATGATGTATAGGTGGTACATGACACCTAAGAAGATTGCAAATATGAATCAAAATATGTCAAACAAATGCTGGAAATGTAAGAGGCATGAGGGCTCATTTTATCATATGTGGTGGACTTGTGAGAAAGCTGTAGACTTTTGGACAAAAGTCCACAATGAAATGCAAAAAATACTGAAATGTTCTTTTAAAAAAGCACCGGAAATTCTGCTTTTGGGACTCAAAATGGAAGAAGTCAATACGACTAAAAAAACTTTACTCTGGTACCTGATAGTGACAGCGAGAATGATTTATGCTCAGTTTTGGAAGACAGAAAAGGTACCAGAGGTTGAAGAATGGATACAAAAAGTTCTGTTCATGGCACAAATGGATAAGATTACAAAAAAACTGAATAACAAAGAAGACGATGAGTTTTTTGGAGAATGGAATGATTTTAAAATTTATCTGGAAAAGAACTGGGATGTGAAACAAAACTTAATATGTTTAGATCAATATTAAGTCAAACGATGTTATCTTTAGATTGTAATGATGAAAAACTGATATTGTTGATGATATGAAGTAATTTGGAGCAGGGGTGGAAGCATTGTGGGAAGCCATTGGAGGGAGGGGAGGAACTGGGAATGGGGTAGACAATTGATAGAATGAAATGTTTTATATGTTGTATTCCTGAGAAAATAAAATTTGTTTACCAAAAAAAAAAAAAAAACAGACACCCTGTGGGGAGGGGGGGCTGAGAGGGCTCTTGAGAGAACTGCTCTTGAGAGAAAAGCTCTGAAAGAAATTATGGCGGCCATTTTGTGGCTGCCTCCACCACACTTTTTCAGACTTCTAAAGGGGCCTGCAAGGTCAAAAGTTTGGGGATCCCCATACTAACAAGTCCATCGTATCAGTTGCACTTCCTGGGCCCCGGCCACACGGGCCACATATTGTGCAGGGGGGGAGGCGTGGCTAATTGCCCCGGAGGAAAATAACACGCGGCAGCCTGATCAGAAGTCCTTTCGAGGTCCCGTGGGTAGGCGTCAGGTGCAGATCAGACGGCTAGTCCCCAGAGCGGCAAAGAAGCAGCACGGCGTGTTCAAACCGGCACTTGCGCCGCGCTGCTCCTGTGGCAAATGCCGCTTCCTGTTTGTGTGCATGCGCCATTGGGTGCTTTTCCGCATCCTGCAGAGACTTGGGGGGGGAATCCCCTTGGTCACGATGGAACACCGGCAGCCGCCAGATGCCATGACAGTCCACCGGAAACGCGGTCAGACGCCCGCCCTTGCCTCGCGGTTTCCGGAAACTAGTACCTCGTAGGTACTAGTTTTTAACTCCGCACCTTCGGCGGGGAGCCACGGGTTCACCACGGGAGCACTGCACTTCCCAGATGTTGGGGTGTGATCGTGCCCGGAAAATCTGCGGGACTCCCGTGCCTCTCCCGCGGCAACTTTGCCGTGTGACCGGGGCCCTGGTTTGTTTTCCAGCACTTCAATTAGCAGTGCTGGAATAAATTTTGTTCTTCTCCAAGGTCCTGCAAGCGTCTAGGGCTTTGTTAAATGATGTAATGGCCTCTGAAGGGTCTGTTAGCAGCCACATACAGGTCCCTTCTGCATTTGCCTGCCACTCTGGATTTTCTCAGTGTTTGAGTCAAGGCAATTTAAGGCCCATTTTGCATCTAGCATCTGCTCCATTGTTTTATCAAACCCACACTGGAGCAGAAAAAGATGTGGGTCAAAACTATATTCGAATAACCCGGTGCCATACTGACTGCGGAGTCACCCCTGAACAGCCATAAAATGGCCATACATCTATGCAGACACTACCATAAAGCTGAGAGATCAAAGGAAGTGAAACCGGCATGCAGTGCGGAGGCTACCATAAAATCCAACAATCAAAGAAAGGGAAAGTGGCATGCAATGTAGAGGGAATTGCGGGACGTGGCGGATTGGCTTAGATGGAGTCGACTGAAACTAAATCTGACGAAGACAGAGGTCCTATGCCTGAATCGGAGCGGTACGGGGGTAGGGGTCCCACTTCCGGCCTTCGGTGGGGCGCCATTGGTGCCAGCTCCGAGGGTCAGGAGTTTGGGAGTGCTCCTGGATGCTTCC